TCAGCTACACGCCTTATTGTGAATAACTCTTATCCTTCATCAAATCAAAACTGATGAGTCATCAAAACATTCACCCCCCCGTACAGTGTGTGTCCATCGAGACATGAGCTAATCACACCTATTTGTTTGTTTTGTACCAAGCTGTAAACATGTTCATCTCTGCTGTAAAAACAGACTTTTTTTAATGTTGTTTTTCAGATTAAATAAATATTTCTATATAAATGCACTCCTTTATGTCTACTTATGAGTATACATTCAGATTTGAAATGACAAGACTAAAATGTGCATTAATGCTCAACTCAATAGCTTAGGGAAGGAAGTCTACTTTTACACAACTTTTATTCTTTTGATAAATACTAATGTAGTTCATTTCTGAAATGGGATGGAACAGAGTCATTGCAAAATGATGCCCTTAAACACAGCCCCATTCTTAAATCAAGATACATGGAGAGTAAATAAGATCAATAACTTGTGAATAAAAACACAGTTAAAAATGATTTAGAAATGTAGTCTTCCCTGATCAATATCACATAATATCAACTTTCCCATCTAAACTGGACAAAGGGTTTTAAAATGGGAAGAAAATGGTTTGATTGCAAGTTGTTTGGAGGAGATCTATTTTTATTTGAACAGCATGAATACAGTCTTCCAAGGTGCAAACCCTCCTCCTCCTGAAGCCTGTGGAGCTCCTTCATGTACTGCTGTCTTATCTGCTGGCCATCTTCTCTCAGCAGAACTTGACTGTTGAAAAGTCATTCTGAAGAAGCTCGAGCATGTGACATGGATCCAGGAGAACATGGACTTTTAGTGAGAGGTCTTCAGGATGGCAAAGAAAGAGAGAAAATATCAGTTATTCATTAAATCATTTTTTTGTTCTCATCTATTTTTCTGTATTCATCTGTGTGTAAGAGTACATTTATAAATTCAACAGTGTACTACCCAGACAACAAAGGTACAGTATTCAGGTAATCAACATCTATTCAAAGTTAAGAAGATAAACATTATTGTAATCATGCTGTTTTCAGCTCTCTCACTCACACAATGATATTCCACATCAAATGTCTCAGATTTTGAGGAAAAATTAAGCAGTTTATTGTGGATAGTACTTCATCTTAACATGAAACAAATATAACCTGAATTATTTAAATCATTAACAGGTCCCAACTCTCTGTGCTTTAGTACAGAACATACAGTAACTCATTTATTATTAACATGAGCTCAGTACATGGCTGTATTCTTCAAACTATTTCTTATACTTTATATCTATGTGCTTTATATCTTATTTTCATTCCACATGTTATTTATATTTATATTTCTACTGCTATATTCTGTGTATGAGTTCAGTGAAAATTAATATGGTTATTAATATAGTTCTTAATGGTTACAGATGCTCTTACAAAGTGATTTTTTTAAATTTGTTAACAGTTTGCTCAAATCTTAAGACACTACATCAACCATGACTTTAATGTCATCCTCTATAACCTACACAGCACATTAGGTTCAGTTCAGTTTATGTTACTGACGGATAATTACTACACAAAGTTTGTTTTTAATGTCCACATTTACGTGGAGTATAACATTCATCATAACGTCAGATAACCACCGAGGTGAACCTTTAGCTTCTAACATCACACAAACTCATTATTTTCAACAACAACATCTTAACAAAAACATTTCTAAACCATTGGCCGTAAATAATGTAAATAATTGAGCTACACAGAAAAAAACTGAAGCATCAACTTGTTGAATGGTCTGTTAACCACACAGCAAGCCATGTATGTTGTCAGATATGTGTTAAACAAACTCTCCAAACGTAGTAAAAAAAGAGGAGAAATCAGACGGATCAAGCTGTTAGCCTCCTGACCTCCTGACCTCCTGACCTCCTGACCTGCTGACCTGACAGACAGATGCAGCGCGCAGAGCTGTCAATCAAATCTGACACAACCACATATGGGCATAGTCGTTTTCCTTAATAGAATAAAATCCGATGAGTTATAAAAAAATTCACCCCCCCCACAGTGGAGGAGAAGGGGCCGTCAACTTCTCAGATATATCTCGTTTTTGAACCAGGCTGTAAACATGTTGATTCCTGTGGTAAAAACGGGCTTTTTTGGCTGTGGGCTTATGGCACTTCCGGCGCTTCTGCAGCCAGCCTCAAGCGGAACCTCGAGGAACTGCAGTTTTTTGTACTTCCGCATAGGCTTCATTTTTCGAGACCGGAGGTTGCCCCTTGATTCTCACTAAGACAAAACTACTGATGACTCTCTCTTCATGTCTCAGTTTTAGGGATGTATCTGCTGCCCCCTTTTGGCCCAGCCCCTCTACTGACCAGCTGTCACTGGTTGTTAGTTCAGCATGGATAAAAGTGTCTCTCCGGCTGCTGTCCGTGGTGCTGATCAGAGGCTGGTTTGAGTGACAGTTTCATGGTGTTTTTCCACATGGTGACATTAATCGTCTGTTGTGGAATTGTCTGGAATGGTTGTGTGTGTCCGTGCAGGTTAGTGCAAACCAGCGTGCTCATCTGTTTGGTTCAAAGCAGAGGACCCCAAAAATAAATATATTTGTACCGGGGCCCCAGGACAAGTATGTTACACTGCTGTATTCTCCTCTCTTCCCTTAAGGACTCCTCTTGTTCTCGGTTCAGACTTTGTTCTGCATTACACATCACAGCGTGTCCTCACAGCATCAGATGTTAGATATGATGTCGCATGACGAAGCATTGAACGCTTCTTGTCCACACTGGATCCATGAAATGTTTATTTCTCTGCTCTGTGAATTTCAGTTTTCTTTGTAAACAGTATGACATCTAGTGCTTTTATTTTGAAGGTGAACAAACAGAACTGTGGTGCTTCAGTCTTTGATGGAGGCGAGCAGAGTAAAGTTTTGCCTCCATGTTATCAAAAGTCAAAGCTCAACATGTCAATCATAGAAATGATCAATGCATCACTATCTCCACTTTGCAAAATAAGCTAACAAGCTCTGTTGAGCGATGAGGTGTGAACAGTTCTGTTGTTTAAGAACACGTCACAAATCAGTCGAAGGTTTTTCTTTGGAACAAATTTAAGAAACTCTTCAGACGCTCACTCGGTCACGTGCTGTGAGGAGACGTTGGTACAGACAATCTCACACTGCTAACATGTATTATATAACTAACGCTCTACTCCAGCTATATTCAACATTTAAATTCAAATTAAAGATGTGTCTTTTAACCATTAGTTGTCAGTGCTCAGTGGGCTTTAGCTGCAGACTGTGAGTGTGAAGTAGAGCTAGAGGAAGCAGATATGATCAGCAAATTAAACCTTCAAATGAGAAATCAGCTCAATGTTGCTTTTCAAAGAAAATGTTTTTCACTCACATTTCACTTCAACTTTGACGTATCCAGATGTCCTCTCTCCCAGATCATTCTTAGCTTTACAGTAATACCTTCCAGAGTCAGAGGACTGAACTGAGCTGAAGACGAGCTCTGATTCTTTACTGAGTTCACGACCGTTCACCTTGTACCAGGTGTATTCAGGTGCTGGGTTAGCATCACAGCTACAGGTCACAGTCACTCTACTGTTCTCTCTGATTTCACCAGCAGGACTCACAGACGCTGAACAAACTGATGGAGCATCTTGAGGAGAGAAGAATAAAAATATAACTGAAGTGACCAAAGAAGAATGAAGTGGAATAAAGTGCTGAGGGTGCAGATTGAAACCAGCTGACAACCCCTCCCTCGATGCTCCCCTCTTCACCTGCAGAGTTTACAACAATCATTAAAGCTCAGCGTACTCTGTACGATTGTTTGAAATTCATGGAGGAATGTCGACTCACACTGTACGAGTGAAATCAGGACAGAGCATTCACCATCATCAATAGATCTGTCTCATATGCACGACTCAAATACACACATGCCCAAAAACACTTTCTGTCACACACACACACACACACACACACACAATCTCACACACACACACACACACACAACACACACACACCACACACACACACACACACACACACACACACACACACACACACACACAATCACACACACACACACACACACACACACACACACACACACAACACACACACACACACACACACACACACACACACACACACACACACACTAACTAGCAGCTAAATAATAATAAGTATTCCCTCTCAGCTGGAGGTCTGCAGATATTTCCTGCCATCGTTTCTTTTGGATTAAACAGGCGTGTCTACTGTTGCCATGGTGATTTAGGATGTTTTCTGTCAGTTTGCGCAGACACAATCAGGGGGGAAAAGTCCTGAAGTCGTGGGATCTGCGCATGGCTCTGCTATGTGAGTGTGGGCAGTCGTACAACCAAAATATCAAACGTGCCAGAAAATCATCCGACCAGTCTGAAGCAGCTGATCAGACAATGATAGGCTGTCGAGCCTCAGTGTACACTGCACAACTAACAACGGGAGATCAGGCAGAATGAAAAATCAGTCGACTCAAAGGTTTTGATGAAATCGTCCTGAAATGGCTCAGAGTCGCCCGGCTTCAGTAGACTGAAGGCCCGCTCTAAAGCAGCCGTTTGTTCTGAGTCTTCTGGTTTATTATAGAAACATGTGAAGCATTGTGAACTTTGTGAAGTGCAGACATAAACAATCATTAACATTACAAACTTTTAAAGTAATTAAACTCAAGTAAAAATATTTTAAATCGTCACATTAAAGTCCTGATTAAATCTCACACACTGGTCCTTTAACTTGAATCTGTCAAAGAGACTATAGTAGTGTGTTTATTTGTAGGTGAGAGTTTCTTCTTTACACATAATATCTTCAAGAACATTTCTGCTGTTTCACTCACATTTCACATTGATAGAGACGTATCCAGACCTCTTCCTCCCCAGCTTGTTCTCAGATCCACAGTAATACTCTCCAGAGGCCGAGGGTTGAATGTAGTTGAAGACCAGCTGTGCTCCTTCATGAAGGTATTGAGGGGTCTGATTTCTCTTGTACCATTTAAAAGTAGCTGCTGGGTTAGCATCACTGCTACAGGTCAGAGTCACTGAACTGCCCTCCACTATCTCAGCAGAGGGACTCACTGACACAGAGGGAAACTTTGGAGCATCTGGAGAAGATGTGTTAGCAGTGATTATTCTATGTTGAGGTATGCTACCACCATAGCACAGAGTATGTAAATCATAAAGTGTGAATAACTTTGTGTAGCAACATTTTAGCTGTTGATGGTCTGAAACATATTTCACAAAACTCAAATTTTACCTCAGCTACAGATTGTAGCTTAGTGTGAATGAAATTCAAGAGACGGGAGAGATAAAAACTGTTTGTCATTTTTCACTCACATTTCACATCAGAGATAAAGTGTTCAGATGTTCTCCTCCCCAGATCGTTCTCAGCCGCACAGTAAAACTCTCCAGAGTCAGACGACTGGACGGAGCTGAAGACGAGCTCTGGTCCTTTACTGAGAGGTTGAAAGTCTGGGTTCCCATTCTTCTTGTACCAGGTATAATTAGCTGCTGGGTTAGCATCACTGCTACAGGTCAGAGTCACAGTACTGTTCTCCACTATCTCAGCAGAGGGACTCACTGACACAGAGGGAAGCTTTGGAGCATCTGAGGAAGACATCAGGAGACATTACTCAAAGATAAGAACATTTGATCATAGATACATGTTCATTTTTATCTAGATGTCTTTATGTTCCTTTTTGATTCATCTTTCTGTCACAGTGACTGTAAAGTGCTGACCATGGAGCCTGATTTTACTTCTTTTTTATTTTGTCTTGACATCAATTCTGTGCAGTCTATGTAACAAACTGTTAAACAAAGGCCATGCAATTCCACTTTATCTTGAGGAGTCTCTTTCTAAAACATTGAATATGTGTTAATCGTTTTAGCTTTTGCTTCATCACTGATATCTTCACGAGACTGAAGCTTAATCTTTGGTTGCTTTTGTACTCAGATTCTGTTTTAACTCTGTTGTGATCATTTGAAAATTGTTACCGAGCAGTTTAATATTACTCATTTGTAAACAGAGTTAAAGGAGCAGTATGTAACTCTGACACCTAGTGTTTAAAATGGGTACTGCAGTCCAAATTCTAAACATTGTAGAGAGCTGTCTCCCCCCCCTCCTCTCTCGAGTCCATGCTCACTCAGGTCACCATGTGGTGGACTCTGAAGCTTCAGTGTTTATCCAGCTCTGCATGGGTCTGTAAACCTTTCTGTGTTCTAACCTCTCTCCATTTTTCAAAAGCATCTCCAATATTGATCCTAGTTTGAGCACGTTTCTGCTCGTGGAGCTTATTAGAAACATGCAGAGGCTTTTTAGGTCGGGTACAATCACTTCTATCTGAACCACTTCTCTTCCCCACTTCCATCGCTGCAACACCTGTTGGTTTGCCGTTCCACACCACTTCAACATCGCTTGTTTCCTCAATGTCTGATGATATACTAAGGTCAGTTTGTAATTTAATTCAGGAAATATTTTACACATTGGACTTTTAAATCTATAAGATTCCAGCAGGGTTTTAAGGGAACTTAAAGTGTAAGTGTGCTGTGGCGTTAGTCTTTAAGTGTGTTTTGTGATTTAGTCAAGTTTACTCACACACTGAAGGAGAGGGGAATCGATCATGTCCGTTTAAGGCACAGGAGATTTCATCCTCAAGATAAAACCAGCCTTTATAGGTAGAAGTCACAGCTCTGGTTATTTTCTGTTTGTTCCTGAACCAGACGTATGAGAGACGACCGACTTCACTGCAGCTGCTGTGACACGTCATCTCCACCTCAATGGAATGCTGACCGGCTCTTATCCTTTTAACCTGAACCTGTAACGCTGGATATGGAGGAAAAAAAGTGAATTGTCTCTGTTCTAAAAAGAGAGAGATTAGATTTAGATGCACATCATTTGAACTTCCACAATATCTAGAAGTCAAAGCAAAAAAACTAAGAGTCTGTGACCACACAGCCTTTATTCTGACAGAAAAGCTCCAACAGAGAACTTGGATTAAAATGCCTTTTTTTGGTCTGACTCAGTCAGCGCACACAAATTAGGCGTCTTTTCTATAATAATAATAATAATAATGATAATAATAATAATAATAATAATAACAATAATACCTTTATTTATATAGCACCTTCAAAAACACAGGTTTAAAAAGTCCTGTGACAAACAGCAAAGGCAAGAACAAAGCAAACTAAACCAAACACAGAAGAACATAAACAACAGCAAGAATATAATGATCATTTCTGTCTGACATACTTTACAGCTTGGTGTAAAACCGAGCCTAAACAAGCTTCCCCTCTTCAGATTGTCTTTAGGTAACGTTTGTTAAGAATTAGGGCTCTTCAAATAAAAATTGGTTTCCCAAGAAAGAAAAGTAAAGGACAAAAGCTTCTATCTGAAGAGTTCAAAGATTTGAAACTAAAAAACTCAGAGAAGCTGCTAAAAAGTTGGATTGCTCTAAATCGTTGGTTCTCAACTGGTCTCGCCTCAGGACCGAATATCAACTATGAGGAAGTGTAAACCAAATCATCTGATATTTGTCAACCAATGAGATGTATTTAAATGTTGTGCAGTTTGGACCTCAGATGATACAAAACATGTTTAAAGCACTCATAGACTTTTTGGCACACTTTATGTTTCCAAACACAAATTCACAACCCACTGAAAACGGCTCTGCGACCCACTTTGTGGTCCCGACCCACCAGTTGAGAACCTCTGCTCTAAAGTAAAAGACGCTGAGTGGTGACATTCATCACAAAGGCTCTCTTATCATTAACACACAAGCATGACCTGTTTGTTCATATAAAACAGTGAGTACAAACTGATAGTGATGAGTTCAGGTTCTGTGTTTGTGTGTCTCCATGGCTCTGCGTTCATTAGTACCTGTGACAGTCAGAGTTGTTCCAGGTAAACTGCTCCTCCATTCAAAGCTTCTTGTTGTAAATTTGAAACGATGCTGGGCTGAATCGCTCTCTCTCAGGTCAGAGATTCTCAGAGTGGAGCGTCCTCTCTCTCTTTCAGAGACCTGAACACGATTTGACTGATACCAATGCTGACTATGTTCAGGACTGAACCAGAACTTTGAAGTGACCGCTTCATGACCGTTGTAAGTACAATAAATGTCCACTGATGAGCCTTTGGGTGCACAGATGGTTCTGACATCGTACTTCACTCTGTTACAGGTTTCACCACGAACACCTGGAAAATTAAACAAATCATTTAAAACAGAGTAAAAACTCACAAGAGAAAAAAACAAGTAGTTACACGTCTCCACCACCAGATGTTGTTTTGTTCGAAGCAGATTGTGAAGTTAACTCACACACTGGAGGAGAGGGGAAATCCTGGTGTTCCTGTAAAGCACAGGAATAGCTGTCTGCATTATTAAAGTAGTCTGAGTAAGTCGAGGATGTTTTTCTGGGGATTTTCTCTCCATTCTTGAACCAAATGTAGGAGGAATGAGGAGGGAGAGTACAACTGCTGACACACGTCAGATCTGCCCAAGAAGAATATCTAGATGTGCCCACCTTCACATGAAGATCTGGATGTGTGGAGAGAGAACAGAGAGGAAATTTAAGACAACACTGTCTATATTCATATGCACAAATATAAAAGAAGACATTGATATTGTTGTTTTATTGTTTTTAAAATAATCAAAAAATGAATGAAAACATTACCTGTGAGGGACAAAGTGACTCCGGGATCACCAGTATAACTTCCATCTTGATGGGTTGTTATGAACCTGAACTTGTAAACAGCTGAGTCACTATTTCCCACATTTGTGATTGTCAGAGTGCAGTCCTTCGATTTAGAGCTGTAGGTCACACGACCTGTGTACTGTGAGTCTGTTTGCAGATCTACAGGTTCTCCATCCTGGACTTCAGTAAACCAGAAGGACTTCTGAACTGTAGTAGACTGATAATTGAATCGCGATGGGTAGCTGTAGGTGCACCTTAGTACGACTGTTGATCCTCTTAAGGCACAGACTTTAGTAGAGGAGTAAGTCACTCTCCAGCCAGCCTGAACCTGAATCACTGTAAAATAGAGCACACCAAGAACCACAGTTACAGTAAGAGCAGCATCATGAGTCAAACCTTCATTCATAGTGGAGGTGCTTCAACTAGTACGACTACACCTGATGTCAGAGTGAGACAAAGCTAGCAGCTATCCTAATAAAGTAGAAAAGGTCAAGTACCACATACAGACGTGGTGTGGCATGCATTTGTTCACATTGGATTGATAGTGTAAACACTCATGCGTTCACTGCAGCATTTAGGACCGCCCACTCAACTTAAAACCTGGGAGATCAACAGATTCTGTCCATGCAAAGTTTGAACGCCTGTACTAAGGTATTGTCCACTTGTTATAAGATCACCCAGGGATGACAATGCAAGGTGTGAACACAATCTTAGACTGTTCAAACATCATTTGTCAATACTACTCAACCACCAACCAGACAGCAGAACACTTCATATATCCAAATGGTCATGCATGTACAGACTCTGCATTAATATACAGATATCTGTTATTAATAGAGGTTACTGCAAAAGGGAAAAGAGGCGGAGCAACAGTTGAAGTACACCTGATCTCTATTAAAGACGATAAAGACATGATATAGAGGGTGCAGCCAGGGGTCTCAGTGTCGAGAACATTTGTGTTTAAAACTGTTTTGTTGACCAGGAGGTAAAATAAATAAATATTAGAAGGGTGGAGTACATGAGAACTAAACTGTCTGCTCTGCTGAGTTGTTTCCTGTCCGTGATGCGGCGACAGCAGAGTGTGAATGGAAACTGCTGAGAAATGAGGTGTGAGCAAAAACTGTGATGGGTAGATAATAAAGAGAGAGACAGCATTTTCAAACTTGTGGGATTAGATGTTTAGCAATTCAGTTATTAACAAGATACTACTACTAATAATAATATTTATAAGTATTGATATTAATATATATTAAGGCTTATTTTAGGGTATTTTACGCCCCTATCCAGAGACAGGAAGTGGACAGAGTCAGAATCTGGAGAGAGAGAGAGAAGGGAGGGAGAGAGAGAGGGAGAACCACAGCCTCCACACATGCGCACCAACAACCAGGCCACCGGCTCCCCTTCCATACTAATATCTACTGAAAAACAAAAATCATCAACCAGAATGAATAACTATGGGGCACCACCCTCCACCAGGGACCAAAAACATGCTAACGGTCAGTTTGGAGGAATGCAGATCAATTATTTTAAAGAAAACATCTCAACACAACTCTTCCATCTCAAATGGTGCATGATCCTTAAAGTTTATAATTTTAGGTTAAGGGAGTCTGCTGGACTTCCTATAAACAGTAACAGTCGTGACAGAAACTTCAATATTTTGTATTGAATTTAAAATGACATCTCCTCTGACTTTTTAAAGTCTGCTCTTTGCCTTGAAGTATAAATGTGGAAGTAAGTTACCTGGCACAGAGAGAAGGAAGACGACAAATCCACTCGCTGCTGCTGTTAAACTCATAGCTGCTCCTCTCGTCTCTGTTAAATCAACAGGTTCATCACATCCATGAGACACACTGGTGTGAGGTCGTCACATTAAACTTTCTTCTTCTTAAAATGAGGATGTGGTCTAAAAATATATAGTTAACTTGTGTTAAACAGAAAAAAGACCACACTCGCCCTTCCTCTTTTTATGCATAAGTCAGAATAAGAGCAAGCCCTGACAGCTAAAAATATTTTCAGGACCTGGTATTTCAATGATATGTTGGTATAATGATTTTAAAGTGTGTGCCGTTTACAAATGTTTCATCAAGTAGACTGTGCTGTGTTTTATAAGTAAAAATAGAACAGGTGTGTGATGTCTGATTTGGGGACACTACCTCTGTTGCTGCATTCAGGTGCTGCTCGGTGATCCAAGTTTATGAGTTGGGAAGTCGTTCTTCCGACTTCAGTGTGTTCGTGTGATTTCAGTTCAGAAAGTCTGAATGTTGTAACAACAGCACAAAACAGCGTTGATGCTACAAAGAAGAAGATCAGAGAAATGCTAGTTAGTTTAGTTTAGTTTAGAATCAGGGACAGCGTAAAAAAAACAAAACAACAACATTAGTCTCAGAAGAGAAGAGATGCTTTGTATCAGATTTAGCTAGCTTAGCTCCTTTTGTTGTCCCTGGGCATTTACTGTTATGAGTTATATTTGAGCTGATATATATGATATATTTTGCCCCCCCATGTCATAGAGATTCTGACGTGGAAGTCGGAAAGTCGGGCACCTAATTCTTTTCTGAGTTTCCGAGTTGTTGTTGCGACTTGAGCAGGCGTTCATGTGCATTTTACAACTCGAAAACTTGTTTTTCCGATGTGTCCGACAACACATGAATGCACCATGTGACCCTACATGACAGGTATTTTGACGTGCACAAAGTCGTCTTATCTTGAGGGTAGATTCCTGGTTATCAATGTGATTGTTTTGAAACATTGGACAGTTATGGGCCTGTGTAATCCTTGTCAGTAATAGAGTGATATATCAGTTTTAAAGTTACATTAATCAACTTACTCCTTATTGTCAAACAAAGCTTTTTAACCCACAACCAGACATTCAGCCTGCATGGAACAACCTGTTGGGACGAACTGGGAAGGAAACAAGTTTAAAAGATTGGACCTGATGTGAAGGCTACAGCTGAGGGAAGAACCGGACTTAAGGGTCTTGAATGTTCATGAGTTAAAAAGATCACAAAAGGAAACTAAAATAATGAGTTTTGTTTTTTTTAAAGATTTATTTTTGTGCTTTTTGTGCCTTTAATTGGAGAGATAGGACAGTGTTGGAAATCAGGAAGAGAGAGAGTGGGGTATGACATGCGGGAATGGAGCCACAGGTGGGATTTGAACCTGGGCCGCCCACTTGGAGGACCATGGCCTCCATACATGGGGCATGCGCACCAACCACTGCGCCACCAGCACATTAGTTTGTTTTAGTGAGACATACATCATCATACTAAGAAATTAAGGAGTTTTGTAAAGTGGGAAACATATGTTTACAATGCCAAACCTAAAATCAGAATAAAACACATAATGAAGTATAATAAGGCTTTGAGTCTTGTACTTATCTCTCCTGAATGAAATCCAGCAGTCTTATTTTCAGCTCTCTTGTTGTCTGTAGGTTAGTTTTATTTCTTGTTAGGTAGATTAGAGGGAGGTGCAGAGAGCGACGACCCGTTTTTATTAAAGTCTTCTTCCAACTTGGCCTCTTGTTTTAGATACTTTCTGATGAGAAGGAGTCTACATGAGTGGAAACACAGTTTAAAGGAAACGCTTACTTAAAGATGAGATAAGAACTTAAAAATCTGCCCACTCAGCATGAAGATATCTCTCACAGGAAGAAGAAGGGTTTACCTCAGATGTTTGATGATAAAAGTGAAGGGTCTTTGTACTTCACAGTGAGACGAGTTTCCCTCCGATTAAAGTTCAAAAGTGCAGACGTATGTATCAGATGAAGGTCATGATTAACATCTTCCTCTCAGGGTTTTAAGAAGGACATAACATAAATAAATAGTCACATTTCTCAGAAGATTTCACTCACATTCAAAGACTTTTATTTATGAGTCTAAGAGCGTCTCTGTCGATGGTATTCAGAGAAGCTGTTTGTCAACAGGCAAGGCAGGCAGCTGATTGGGCCCCCAGGCCAGGTCAGGATACCCTCTGTTCATCATTCAGTCAGATTCTGACAGGATGGAGGTTCCTCTCTGAAGTTTCCCTTTTTTTATCGCATTATTAGTTTCTATCTATTAGAATGTGAATCTGGTCTGGTGCAGTAAACAGGTGTGTGTGTGTGTGTGTGTGTGTGTGTGTGTGTGTGTGTGTGTGTGTGTGTGTGTGTGTAGGTGAATGTTAATAACTTACCTGTCACAACAAGCAGATGTAAGGTGGAGTTATGACGTCCTCTTGTGTTCTGAGCTTCACAGTAATATCTCCCACTGTGATCAGCACTGAAGTTAGAGATGGTGAAGATCTGTCCTGAAGCTGTTGGTGAGTCTTCATCCTCCTTGAACCAGGTGTAATTAGCTGCTGGGTTAGCATCACTGCTACAGGTCAGAGTCACTGAACTGCCCTCCACTATCTCAGCAGAGGGACTCACTGACACAGAGGAAGCTTTGGAGCATCTGGAGGAGAAAACATCTGTTTTAATTTCTCCTCAACATTAAAATGTTTGAATTGTCAAGATGAAAAAACTGAAATAATATTAGAGACATATCACATGAACAGAAAAGGGGATAAGAATGAGCCTGTTTTAATATATAGATAATTAATGATTCCTTTAAGTGACTCTGTTCCAGCAGCTACAATCACAGTCAAGACATCTCATAAAAACACTGAGTATAAGAACATGAAGCACATTAAAACAAGTGGATCAATTCAAACAATCTATTCTCACTAAGACAAAACTACTGATGACTCTCTCTTTGTGTCTCAGTTTTAGGGACGTATCCCTCTGCTGCCCCCTTTTGGGTGGTGGTGTGTAATACATTCAGGAGTGTTGTTTTCCAGCTCCCATCGATGCTCCTCACAGCATCAGATGTTAGATATGATGTCGCATGACGAAGCATTGAACGCTTCTTGTCCACACTGGATCCATTAAATGTTTATTTCTCTGCTCTGTGAATTTCAGTTTCCCTTTGTAAACAGTATGACATCTAGTGCTTTTATTTTGAAGTTGAACAAACAGAACTGTGTTGCTTTAGTCTTTGCTGGCGGAGAGCAGAATAAAGTTTTGCCTCCATGTTATCAAAAGTCACAGCTACAGGTCAGAGTCACTGAACTGCCCTCCACTATCTCAGCAGAGGGACTCACTGACACAGAGGGAAGCTTTGGAGCATCTGGAGGAGAAATTTACAAACAATTTTCATTTAGTTTGAAAATCAATGTATGGTCAAACTTTTTGAATGTTAAAATGAGGAAGAGTTAACAGGTTATAAAAAGTAAAGTCAAACACTGTGGAGTGCAGCTTTAGTTATTCAGAACTTCTCTTACTGTAAAATACTCCAAAATTTTCACTGTTTGTGAAAAATGATGCAGACGGATGTTGAATGTATGAAAACGTTAAAAAACACATCATAAGACTTAGAAACTTAGTGAGACAAAACAATCTAATTATAGAAAGAAACAGAAGCAAACATGTCTTTAACAGTTTGCATCATATCTAACACTCAATCTAAAAAACCTGAATATTATTTACAATTTAAGCCTTATCCAAATACGTTCAGTGATGAAAGTTTTAGTGAGGATATACAGTACCTGACACAGAGAGAAGGAAGATAACCAATCCACTCACTGCTGCTTTCAAACTCATAGCTCCTCTCATCCCTGTGTGACTTCAGAGAAAATAAAACACATTAACAGAAGGTCTGTACATGTTTCAATAAATGGCATATCATTGAATAGTTCTACTTACAACAGGGAGGAGATGTCGTCTCTACAGCAAATGTTCCTCTGTGGTCATCAGGCGGCAGAAGTCAAGCTGTTAAATTTTGTCTTCCTTCCTCTTCACATTATGAATATGCATGAAGTTACAGACTGGCGTCCAGTACTGATGTTATTTTAAAAAGAATCTAAGGCACTAACGAGGTTGGCTTTCTAAGGATAAGAATATCAAGAATCTTTAATGTAACTCCATGTAAAGACACCATCAGACAGCAGTTCAGATAAAATGTGTGAGAATGCAGCCAATGAAACGTGTTCAATCAGCAGCTGCAGCAGATGATAAGCTTACTTGGTTTAACTATGGGTGCAAACAGGCGGAGTTTGAGAGAAGAACCACAACTCTGACCTAAAACAAAAAGATGAATTTTGAACGTGCAAGTACACTGGCAGGATGTCAGAATAAGGCAGTGGTTAAGTTGCTCCAATCTAGTCTAGCAGAAATTTTAAATGTTCCTTTATGACTTTAGAGTCTGTAACCTGATGCACACTGCCTCAAAAAGATTGTTTTTCAAATACTTGATAAGAGTTACCTGTGAAGCAGTTGATGTTTTTAACAAACCTCATGACTTATTAAAAGGAGAAACACCTTGTCTGCAAGCAACTCTTTTGATGTTTCAGCTCAGCATTATGAGAAAGCAGATTGTATGAATGGAAACTTACAGCCCTAAAGTCCAGTTCGTTTGACCAGTGAGAATGCTCCGATCCTTCCTTGGCCATGGCATGATTCAAAGAGGTGTGCTTCAGCACGGTACAGTTCATGCATGAGCACAAGTACACAGGTACACAACGTGGACAGCCTTCATTATGGAGAGTAAAAGTCAGTAAAGTAGCTGACATTTCTTTTTTTTTCTCAAGTAAGCCTGTCTTGTAAACTAAGCACGCTTCATGATAACATAAAGCCATGCCTGTGTTGTATTACGACCTTATGTCAAGAGGTAAACTTGCTCAGGCCCGGTTAGTCCTTGAGCAGTGTGAGTGCAGGCCAGCAGGGGAATGGGGAGGGGGGACAATCATGCTTAAGCACGGTACGGGACAACTTTGCTAGTGTGAGCGTGCCCTAGGCCTATAGCAGCAAAACTAGGAGCTGGTCCATACCTGAGCCAGCCCTAAGTATAAGATTCACGAAAGTTCTCAGCCTTTTCTTAAAAGGATAGAGTGTGTCGCTCTCCCAGACCCTTACTGTTAGATGATTCCGAAGGAGAGGGGCTCAATAACTCAAGGCTCTACTTCCCATAGTACATTTAGAGGCCGTAGGTACCACAAATAGGCATTCATTCTGGGAGCATAATGTTCTCGAAGGGTAATACGGCACTATTAGCTCTTAAAGATAAAAATTTGCCTGGCCATTAAAAGCTCTGTAATTGAGATAGATACTATTAGCGCTTGCTTAAGGTGCCAGTGGATCTCTCAGTTATGTTCAGGCCTCAGACAGCTTTATTGTTGCAGCAGGCTTGTGGGGGCCTGACTGGGCATTCCAGGGGCTCTAGGCAGACAAGAGAGTCCATGCCACATCAGTGCCAGGAGTCCCAACATGGGGGTCAAGGTGCCTTGACACCCTACCAGAGGCCTCTCAAGGGTAGCCCTGCTTCTGCCCCCCTTGGGAGACATAGTAGAGGCTGCCAACTAAGGGTCATGGTGACTCCCCCACGACCATTCCAGAGCCCCTGCCAGCCTCCCCTGCCAGTCGGCTACAGGGACACTTGGTTAGCCTTGTGGGTAGACCCGTGGGTGGTCTTTACCATGACTCAAGGCTACTGCCTACAGTTATTTTGCAAACATTAATGCCACTGTGAATGATAGTCAGCATGTTGAGTCCATGTAGCTTAGGCAGGGCGGAAGTGGATCTGATTACTTCAAGAGAGTCTGCCATGGTAAGCGACTTCTCCAATATTGGTTGCCCCTCCAAAAGAATGGGGAAATTGGTTCCCCATCTCCAGGATGTCCTGCAGTTTTCAGTCCCAGCTGGAGAGTAAAGCAGAAGTCTGCTGACGAGCAGGGGATCAATTTTCTTACTGCTCCATTTGGCATTCTTGGCAGCCTGAGACCTACAAAGAAGTCAGTGGAAGTCATTGTCTAATTTCAACAGAAAGTCTGCTATGATTTTTTTAATGTCTAAAAAGTCTGTATTTTCACCGTTTACAGGGTACCTGTTTGAAAGCATCCACCTGAGAGCGTTTATCTGATCAATTCAAGTTTGGTGTCAAATGAAAGTAGACAAGTTGAAGAATAAAAGAGGTTTCGAAATAAGGCACGCCCGTGGCGTGATTTCCAAGTTTGATATCGGTTTTTGCATTGTGCCAATAACAGTAAATGCTTATAACTCTACTATGCAGTGTTCAATCATCACCAAGAAATTCATGCATGACAAAGAGCCTGCCCTGAACACATTAATGATTGAATTTTTTTAATTAGTCACAGCGCCACCTGTTGACAACAAGAGGTCACTCCGTCCGAGCACTGTTTCCTTTGCACTAGTCATTGCTACACAGTTGCTTGTATCGCCCTCAAAATCACTGTTGACCATCCAAAGACTTTGAACATACAACATTTACAAGCACAAAGTCCTGCGTAAAAAGCTGTTCCCTTACGGACAAGTTGTTTGCCATCAAACAGGAAGTCGTTTTTTCACGGGCTTAACATAGTCGTACAGGCCCGAGACTTCATACATATAATCCTGGTACTAAACTCAAAGATCTTAATGGCTCAGTGGCGCCCCCTTCAAATTTTCTAAATGGCCTCCCCATAGAGGGTTTTATCACGTACATTCATGAAAATTGTTACGCATATTAAGCTTGTCAGGATGGAAAAAAATCCTCTTACAGTGTTTCAAAAGACCCAACAGGAAGTCCATAAATTAAAGTTGAACTTCACAATAATGGCCCAAAATCGTGATTTCAGCCTTCCTATTTGAACGAACTTGGCCGAGGGCGCCCATCCGATCGGTGCAATCTCAGTGTCAGTGCGTTCTAGACAGGCTCAACATATCTTGTTGTGCGCTGCACGTTATTTTGTCAAAAGGCGTGGCCGTGGCGTGCGTTTTGGCATCTTGCCAAAAAAGTAAATGCTTATATCTCATGATACGGGACCCGCCCTGAACACATCCATGTTTGAAATTTTCAAATAAGTCACAGCGCCCCCTGTTGACAACAGGAAGTTATTTCTACTCAATTAGCATTAGCCATTGCTACACAGTAGCTCAATTCCCCCTCAAAATTGGTGTGGACCATGCTAACACCGTGGCCATACAAGACTTTCAAGCTCAAACGCCTACGTCCAACGCTGTTGCCATACGGACGCGCTGTCGCCATCGAACAGGAAGCAGTTTTTTCACGGGCCTAACATAGTCGTTCAGTCCCGAAACATATAATCCTGGTAGCAACGTCAAACATTTGATACCATTTAAGTGAGTGGGCGTGGCTTAATGGCTCAGTGGCACCCCCGACAATATTTCAAACATTCAGCCCCCGCAGCACGTTGGACCTATTGTGCTACTAATGTTACTATGCATATCCATCTTGATGACACCTACAATAAACCCTCTTGCACTCATGCTCAAAATCCAACAGGAAGTCCACAAATCACATTGCCATAAACAGGAAGTGGCTGTAACTCTTGCTAACTAACGGCTAACTAGCTAAACTCATAAAACCGTTATGTCAACCAAGCAATTTCACAGAATAGCTCGCGCTAACGGTTTACCAGTTAGCTAGCAGTCATTTTGTTAGCTAGCTATTGCTAACAGTTAACTTGTTGTCTAATGTTAGTGTGCCCTCAGCTGAAATAAATGTTACTATTTTCCAGACGGCATCGCGAGCTAGAGGGGATATACAGGTATCTAATGAAACTGCACGAAATACTGCACGAAATACTGCACGAAATACTGCACGAAATACTGCATCCATTGGTACAACATGACATGCTATCATATCGGGAAGAGGGGTGAATAACGTTCTCAAGTCAAGGTAGTTTAAAATGTCTCATGCAAGATGGGCTACAGAGCTCGTCTAAAATTAAGGCAATGCTGCCATCTTGTGGTGACTATCCATGATTGAAATATTTTAATTTAGAGTGTGGTTCCAATTTGTTCCACAAGGAGGCGTAACCTCCAAGTGAGACAGTTTAGTGTGCTCGGTAGCAGAAGCAGGAAAGGAAACACACCTGTTGCTATTATTTCCCTGTTATTTACAGGTGAGTAAATGTCACAAATCACATACATGTGGTCTACATATTCTTCTATAGCATGTGGAAGGTAACGCCATCCTTTAGTTTGTGTCAGGATGTGTTTTAAATTTGTTTTGAAGGTTTTCTGGTACTTTAGCTATGATGCTCATGAGCGCTAGCTTTGCTCATTGCCACGTTCATATATGTCTGTCATGGCTTGTCCCTAGCGCCCATGCTCTTTTGCTAGTTTTGTAAAGCTCCTGCATATCTCTTAAAGTAACCGTGGCTTCATAAAGACTGTTTGTTTTCATATTTTGTACTTCATGTAAAAAGTGTAGCGCTAACTCCGCTAGCTTCGCCGTTTCTCTATGGAATTTCCCATGTTATTTGTTGGCATAATGCTAAGCGAGGATAAACTGGAAAACTGTTTTGCATTGATACGAATCGATACGAAGTAGCAGAACCGAATTATTTTATATTCGTGAAAAGAATAATAACACACAGAAACGTTTATTTTGTAGTTTTGAGAACTTTTGCATGTAATATAAGACAAGTATAACTTTATATATTTTTCTGTGCATATTGTGTTGAAGTATGGATGAAATGCTGTTTTTGAAGAAAGAAAATGAAACAGAAATACAGTTTAAGTAAAACTGAAATACATAAATATATTAAAATTAAAGA